AAAGAATTATTCCTAAAATGCCTAAAGCACCACTACTGATGAAAGAAACCAGAATGATCTCAATAGGCAGGTCCCAGAGTGACAGAATATGTAAGAACCAAGATATTGAGCAATCCAAGTTTCAGCGGTTGAGGTCAGGCACCAAGCAATAAGGCCTCTAGCTACCTGGCTTTCAGGGCAGGATTCCTGTCTTAATGGAGGAAGCAGAGACTGGAAAAAGCAAATGTGGAGCTCCGAGTACACAGAAGCAGAAACAAAAGCTCCAGACATTGAACAGCATTGGACAGTTTATGCAGGACCATGGCCAACAGGCTTATCTCTGAGTTCTACCTCAGCTCTGCTGCCTAAATGCTTTGAGATTTTATTTCCCTGAACCTTGATTCCCTCTTCTGTAAAAGAATAGCATCTACCTCATAGGGATGCTATAAAGGTCAAGTGTTTATCATGGTACCTGACACATTTCCTTGACTAAACATTGTAAGTGTTTAGTCAAGGAAAGCTGCTGTGATTATTGTTATTACTAACAATAACAGAAGACTAATTAGAAGAAAGTGGGTAAAATTTAGGACCATGGCCTTAAGAAAACAGTACTGTTATCGGTCTGCTTAGTCTGGTCACAGCTCAATCAGAGTGCAGAGAAAAAGGTCCTCAGTCCTGTCGTATGTCATAGTTGGTTGGTTCTGGGGACAAGGATGGATCTGATGCTGCAGCTGGGATTCCAGTAGGTCCTTCTGTGAGGGGAAGAAAAGTAGAAGAGACCAACTTTGCCACGAAAGAACTAGCAGCTTAGCCGGGGAACCAGAACGAACACTTATGAACAGTTAAAAGCAATAGCATGTGCAGTAGTATTACGGTTATACAAAGTAATACCTATGTTTGGTGATGAGTGTAGGGGAAAACAAAGGTCTGAAATGACATGACCAAAATGTTACAGTGGGAATCTCTGGGAAATGAGACCATGACTTTTTAAAAAAGATCATAGATTTATTTTATAATTAGAAAAAAACATTAGTTCTAACTAATATAAGATAGCATATAATTCAGAGTTAAGAGTTCTAGAACAACACAAAAGTGAGAAATCATGTATTACAGAATAGTCTCCTAAGGAAGTGGCCTTTTGGGAATTCCTGAGGATGAATAGGACTTAGATAGATAGATGAAAGAAGACACTCCAAAGAGAAGACCTAAGCTAGTGGATAATCATGGCAGATGTGACAGTTATTAATTTATTGCCTCTTAACTCTAAAATTCACTCTTTTCTCTGCTTCGTGATTCTGGAGCTGAACACTCTAGACATTCCTCTTTTGCTAGTTGACACAACATTAGGCTTTGTCCTACCACAGTGTGTTCAAGGAATAAAGAAGGAATCTCTTGAGCAAGGGAGGGACTGCAAAGAGCAGGCCAAGATTAGTCAGATAGCATAAGAAAATCATGCGGAGGAGACTTAAACTCCAGGGGAAAGAATACTGAGACTAGTGAGAAATCTTCTCAGCGTCGCCAAAGGTCTCTTAGGGCCTGCACAACACAGCCTGTGAGGCCTCCCAAGCATTTTGCCTTCTGGCCTGCTCATTCCTTCCTCTGCAGCCTATCTCTGATGGTCTAGACCTCCCTGACAGGTACCGACTTCTCATAACGCTGAGCACATCACGCTTTTCATACCTCTTTACCTATAGCCACTACATGGAACACTCTCTTCCATTCCTCGATTCCTTGAAAAAATAGCTATTTGTCCTTCATAAGGCTGATCAGGCATCATTTTTCTGAAAAAAGTTTCCCCTGATCCTCCTCCCTTCAGATTAATAGTTTCCCCCTCTGCATTCCTTCTGGGCTGCCTCTCTCTATTCCATGCACCAAGTTATCTTAGGCTTATTTAGTGTCTTTTTTCGTCTTTCCCCCTAGGCTGGACTTCTTAATGACTTTAATCCTCCCTTGTAATTGCAGAGCCTAGCAGACCGCCTGGAACGTAGCAGGTGAACTGAGCTGACTTGGGCTGTGCCCGGACTGCCGAGGACATCTCTAGAAGGGAGAATTGTATTATTTGGGGGGAAAGGAAACATAGAATTAGTGGGGCATCATTATAAGGGGTAAGATAGAATTTCGATGTTTCAGGTTTAGGAACTGTTGGCTACCCAATATCTATTCCAGTAAATTCTATCAGCGTAACATATGTCAGTCCTCTCTGGCAGTGGTAAATGGTAGAAGAATTAGAATCTACTACTAAGTCTGTCTTGGACCCAACCTATGAAATTATGAGAAGGAAAACATCTGTGCTTTCTCAAGAGGCTCTCAATGTCCATTTCAGTTAAAATGCCCTCTTAACATAAAGGAGGGGAAAGTTCACAGGCACACCATAGAATATTCATCACATTGCTGGCATTCTGCAGAGAATTGGGCTGGTTAAGTGGCTCCTTGCTCCCTCTTACCTATCCTGAGCTGGGAGCATCTAGATTTTGATTGGACAATTGCCAGAGCTCATTAGCATAATGTACCTTGACCTGGATTAGGGAGTAGCAGCAGCTTCTGCGCAGAAAATGACCAGATCCTGCTGGGACCCAACCAGAGATACATCACAATATTGTCTGCATCTCCATAAGAAGGCAGAAGGTAAGGAAGCCAGAATTCTTGAGAAGAGACAAATGTAAGGGATAGGATAATGGCTAATCCATTCTTACAGGGTTCTAGTTGGTTTTTATGTAGAAAAGCTAAAAATTGAATACACTTTGGCCCAAGTTACTGTTTAAAAAATGAAGTCTTGACAAATTTAGATTTTTTTAATCCTGGAAGAAAGCTGAGTTTGTTTATTTCTTAAGGGCTACAGTTTTTTCTTCTTTTCTGTGTTTTGCTCCTAACCTTCTAGGAAACATTAAATTTATGTTCATTTATTTGGAAAAAATTACATCAGAAAAAATTTAAAAACCATGGTGTTCCGCAGCAAGATATTTGATTTCTCTGTTTTTAATTTAAAAATAAAAGAATCGTGTCTATGTTAACTAGGCTTAAAACAATGTTTTTCACTTGGGGAAATGTGAATTTTTAAGATTAATCTATCCTAATAAGCTATAACAAATTTTAGACCACTCGAGTCACTGTGTTAATGTTCAAAGAGGTAAGTACATAAAACTGTTGCTATCACATTTTCACTTGATATTTATGTCTTATATATTTGCCATCTAAGTCTTCTAAATTAAAGTCAATCTGTCTTCGAGTCTTCAGTAATGTAGTGTTTATTTTCCAAACATAGAATTTGTTTGGAAACTCATGGGAATTTAATTTTGCATGTCAGTGTTTGAAATGGGGAGCAAGGACTCATGCTCTTTGAGTCTGTGAACACTTGGTGATAGGCAAGTGTGGATAGATGAGGTAGGTAGGAAAGAGACTCCTTTTAGCTTGTTATTTTATAGTCAAGAACTCCATTTATATGTTCAAGGCAACATCTTCTATAGCCATACACTTTCCCTCAGTATGTCTCAGTAATTGACAAGTATTAAGGTTATATAAAGTCAACTAAGGAACAGAGCTTATGGGACTTTCTAAGGTTTAGACAATTAATCTAGCTTGTATTTTGAGTTTACTATTGAATAGTTCTATGTAACATCATCATGCCCCTTGTTTTTACAAGAGTGCCAGCAGATGGTAATGATACAGTATTTTCGATCCACAGTTGAGAATACGTGCATGTGGAGGGCTGACTTAAGTTTTACTCAGATTTTTGACTGTGAGGGGTGTTGGTGCCTCTAACCCCTGTGTTGTTGAAGGGTCAGCTGTACATGTAAACATGTCTCACTTCATATTCTATTAACAAGCACAATTCATCTGCAAAATGATCAGTTTTTTTCTCAATAGAACACTTCACACTTTCTTCTTAATTTGTGAATCTCCTTTCACCAATTATAATTTGCAACTAGAGCAGTATTTCTCATTGGGGAACAAATGCAGTTTGCCCCCCAACTTTTGACTATTGTTTACATAATACAATTTAATCAAAGTTAAGTGAGACAGAACTTTCTTGTCAGGGGCAG